GGTCTAAAGAGCTGTGGCTATATAATGAATAAAAATGAAATGGGTAACGCTTTGTTAGTACACCTCTACCCAAATATAATGCGACCTGATAGAACACGAATTTGGATACAACGCGGTAAAGCAGCACTCCGGTGGATCAAAGCAAGTTCAATATAACGAGGTAAGATTTTTTGGCTCCTGAGGACAATGTTATATTAAGGTAGAGATGTATAAAATTCAAGTTTTTAGGCAAAACAGAACATATTAACAGAGGTCAGACAAACCTAAAAATCAGAGAACCAGTCACAGGAGGCATGAAAAAGTGAGAATTCCACAACATTTAGAGTTTTCCCCCCTACCTATTTTTTTCCCCTTAAGACGTTCTCAGTCATTACGGTCATAAACAAGCATATTGGAAAGTTACAACTTAAAAATGAGAAACTAAAGTTAAAGTTACACAGAATTAAGATGAGGCAGAAGTTAAAGCCTGAATGATTACCTGATCTATTATGTTGACAAGTTACAATTGCTGGAAGGAAAGCCTAACTGCTAGTTCTGTACTGGCTCTCAACATCTCCAGCTTCAAATTAAGTTTGGAAAGTAGCAGCTGACAAGTGTAGTCCTTTGTTTTCATGAAACATTGAATGATCAAAACAATTTAAAAAGGTATTTTAAAATTTTCCAATGACCTATCCAGGAATTTCTTCAGGGTAAACACGGTCTTATGAGAATTCCATTTGCTTACCTCATTGCCATGAACCATTAGATGATGTGTTGTAACTAAGGCTTTGAACACCACCACCCAGCTACTATTTGTTGCTCGCTCAAAGAGAGTATCAGCCATTTGAGGAATATTAACATTGGTCTCATTGGTGGCCTGGATCAAGTCTATTAAAGAAAAAAAAGAAAACTGTTACAATAAGTACAGAAAAGACAAATCAACAGCATCTGGTAGACTAGACTAGAGTAGAGTAAGTTTCAATGAGACTGATAAATGACAGATAATATACTGAAACACAAGAGTACAAAGACATTTACCATAGTATCTATCCTCAAGGCTGAGAGTGTTCTGGCCATCCCAACCCAACATTTATTCTTAAAGGGCTATCAAAGAAGTTATACCAATTCAATTCGAAGTTATCAAAAGCTACTTTGGAGTTAAAGACAAGTTTTGGTCTTACGTGAAGTAGGTGAGAGGATAACCAACAGTAGTTGGTTATCTAGTAATGCAGGCTCTAAGGATAAGTCTACACTGCAAGTAACCTGTAGCAGGCCCCATACCAGCTGACTTGCAAGGCTCAGGCTAAGGGGTTCTTTAATTGCGTTGTAGGTGTTCAGGCTCAGGCTGGTAGCAAAGTGACAGAGCCCAGGGTCCTGCCTGAGCCTGAATGTCTAAACCACAATTAGCCAGAATCCTGTGAGCCTGAGTCAGCTAGCACGGGCCAGCCGTGGGTGTCTAACTGCAGTGTAGCCCAACCCTAAGAGGCATGCCAGCATGCCTTTGCAGATCTCACCAGAATACCAAGGGTGGATCAGCCAGGACAATATTTTAGGTCACATTCTCTGTAATAGACTTCCGGGTGCAACCCAATAATGCCATGTCACCTGAGATTCATAAATGAGCCCATGGACTCTGCTTACGTAGGCCAAAGAAAGCTTGATATTGTTATTGAAGAATTTAACTTTTATTTTCAACAGAGGAGTTTCTAGTTCTTGTTGTAAAGCTATCCTTCAAAAATGTTAACTGCTGCAGTGACATCTTCCAGTGTCTCCATAGCCTTTGACAGCAAAAAGAGTGATTTTATGTAAGCCAGTTTCTTAAACTTATAAAAGCTTTGACCAGCAGATGCATACATTGAGTTAATTATGGGTGCAAACCAAACCCTCAAAACCCAGAGGCTTTGGGATGGAGGTCGGGGGGGGGGGGGAGGGGAGGGGGAGTAATAATATAGTCGTGGAGGAGAGAAGAAA